GCCGACACCCCGCTCCCGTGGGTGGGAGCGGCCCTCTGACACCCCACCGGCACCCCGCGTCACGGGTGGGGCTGTCAGCCCGCTGCGCGTCACGCGTGTCACCGCACGGGGACGGCCTTCGCCCAGCCGCGCCCCATGAAGGCGCCCGGCTCTGCTGAGAGGGGCCTGGCTGGGCCTTCCAAACCTTCCCTGGGGTCCCCTCTCTCCCCCTCCGTTTTTGCAGCGTGTTTAACCACGGAGCGATTCGCCCCAGCGGAAAACAGACCTTCCCCAAGCACAGCCTCCATGGTCTCCTGCGGACGGCCCTGTCACCCTGCTTTCCGGCCCTGTCCTCCGGGCCCATCACCCTCCCTCGGGGTCCCACCGTGCCCCGACGCTGAAGTGCCCACCCCGCAATCCCCTTCTCCAGCAGGAGACGATGGTGAAGGGTGAAGCTTACCCTCAGCGCCAGGCATGCCTCCTGGTCACTGGTAACATCGCTCAAGGGTTGCATGGAGTTTTCTTAAAAAATAGCCTAAAAAAATCCACACTGCGCCAAAAGCAACCAAACCCCAGAGCACCATGAACTTAGCAACAACCATGTACTAAGCGCACACTTTTCTTTAAAACACCCGTGGCAGCAGCTGTGCATGGAGGGAGGCAGGCCCTCATGTCAACGCAGGGCACCTGTGGCCATTTTGCTGATGGGAAGCAAGGGGTAGAACCTTCCCCCTCCTCTCCGGCGGTGCAGAGCACACGTGCTGCAAAACAGCGCAGAGGAGCTGCAGCTGCCTTCAAGTGAATCTACCTCGTCATAATTTTTTTCATTTCTGCTTTTTCTTTTCCCAAGTGTAATGCTGTTAAAGAGTAAACATAGTTTTCACCTCTAAATACATATTGTAATAATTAAGCACGATAACCAGATTTTGGTGCTAACCTTCTTACAGCTTTGCCATTTTAAAGACAGCGCAGCCCACCAAAAGCAGAGATGTTGCAGTAGGGTGGCTAACAGCAGTTTAGCAGGTCACAAATTTGGGGTAGCAAGGGCCATTTCTCAACTGCGGGTGCTTACAGCAACTGATGGAGTGGGGACAACGATTCCTGCAAACTTCAAGTAAAGCAGCATGCATGACAGATGCACGAGATGGGTGTTGCAGCCCCCCAGCCTCCTCAGCCCTGCAACATGCCTGTTCCAGCCTTTATAACGAAGAAAATCCCGCTAGTTGTGGCTCAGAAGGGACGCAACAAAACCACAAACCACTGTCATCTGTTCAAGCCCCTCGGCACTTAGAAACAATCTTTGTCAACTGTCTATATTGCACCAGCTCATTTCAAGAAATCCAACACATGTCATAGTTTGGGATGCCTATAAGGTAGACACAGCCTTCAGCAGGCAGCACTATTAGTTGATCTCTACTGAAGTCCACCAGCAAGATACATCCTGCTGTCTGGAAGTGGATCTCCCACTCCACCGATGACACCGAGAAGGTGGTCTCCTGAATTTGGGCAAACTTGACCTAACTCTAACCTCAGGCCTTTAACTGACTTCTTGCTGAAGTTGAAACCCCTACCCTAGGCAACTTGTTAAAAAGAACTGGAACTTCATGATGGGGCCTGGAAAGAGAGGAGAGACAAAGTATCTTTTTTCCTAAAAAAACCCTCCACCCCTCACAGATGTCAAATTGAGGTTTGGTGGCAGCCAGCCTCCAGGCAGCAAAGCAGGTTTGGTGCACCAGGAATAAGTTCCGTGGCACACCCTGTGAAAGGAGAGTACTGCAAAGTGGATAGTAGCTAAAAATTGAATGGATCAGGTCTGCCATGAATAGGTGTCTCAGCACAAAGACTGTAGTGACTGCACTGCTCATTTTTCCACACCTTTTGATGTGAGCTGCTGCAGGTCGCGTGCCACCGTATTTGTGGTTTTGCCTCAGCAATGTAAAATGCACCAGGTCCCGAATGCATTCTCCACCCTGCCAGCAACTTCTCCCATAAATTTTCAGCAGTACAGGAAAAAAAAAAACCCAAACCACAGATGCTCCTGTGTAATAAAATCCTGCTGCAGACAATGAAATTATGATTTTAATGCAAGCTAACGCGCTGACCTCTTGATGTGGCAATAAAACTAGAGTGACTTACTCCACACTGGGACATTTCCAAGTGAGATAACACACAGTTATCTCACACATCCTCTTTCATTATGTGGATGCCTCCTTACGGGGGATGCGTGTAAAAGAGAAGAATTTTTAAGCTTATAGAAATTACACTACAACTGCTAAGCAATATTTGTGCTGGGATCTGGTAAGTCCTTTTAGATTAGTCTAGTGGCTTTCTTTTTTTTTTTTTTTTCTTTCTAATTATCACTTCTAGATAAGTTCCAGAGAAGGTGTGAATCCCATTGGAAAGGTAGGAACTACAGGGCCTGCCTTACAAGTTTACGCAGCTGAGGTTGCTTTTCTTGGTTATCCTTTTATGGATCTTTTTGAAGGAGCCCAGAGTCTACCAGGGATCTATAAAGCACAGATCAAAAGCCAGGAGGATCAATCCATTTACCAAGTGTGCTTAATATTGCTCTTCTTCCAGACCTTCTGCATTCACCTGGTTGTTCCCAAGGAAGGGAGTGGTATTTTATTACAAACATTTGCACACAGCTCCACTGTGATCCAGGCACAAAATAACATGGAATA